GAATTGTAAGTGACGATTATTACAATCAGGTAATGCAGCAGGGTAGAAAGAGAAAGCCCACAGATGAATAGGGATGTTAATGAGGACTAATGGCGGTTAGCCGGAGATTATTGGTGGGAGGAACTACCACAAATGTAGTAACTTCCAAGCAAAAAACTATGTAAACCATGAACAGAATGGCTCCAATGGTACAGCGACAGGGTGGGAAATTTCAACGTGAACTTTCATTTTGAGACAGAAGCTCACTCTATAGCTCAGGCTGGCCTCAGACTTATGGCAATCCTCCTGCCTTAGCCTATACCATACCCGGCCTCAGTGAGTCTGAAGAGACAGATCGGAGTTGCAGTCAGAGCTACAGAAGGATCTTTCATAGTCTGTCAGAATATTGGGCTGTTTGGACACAGCAATTAGACACTCTGAATCTGGAGGAAGGATTTTAATCGCAAGGAAAAGGTAACAGCTGTGGTAAAAGTAGTTTAGAAATAATCTGGAATAGAAAAGAAAAACAGGTGATAGCAGAGGAAGGAAGGCAGAAATGGAGCATGCAGAGTAAACAACCAGAGCAGAGCTTTTTAGAGGCCCAAGGACACATCAAAGAAAAACAGAGCATTTCAGCAAGGGTGTTAAACGTGGGAGAGAGCCAAAGAGGGCCATGGGCTTTTAAAAGGGGGGCGCGAAGAAGTAGCGGTGTATGTTGGCAGAAAGAAATGAAGAGATGAGAGGAAGGAGAAAATTTATAGCAGAGGAAGCTGGTGTGGAGTTTTCCTCTCAAGATGTCCAGCAGAGCAAGAAGAAATAAAAGCCCTGGGAAGGAGGCTGGGCCGGGGCTGGAACACCATGAGACAGAGGAGCAGGGCCCAAAGTAGGACATTTTCTTCTTTTCATTAACTGACCCAGATTTCCTTGTTTGCGACCAAAGACAACTGCGGAGTTTAACGCTCTTTACATGACAAAGATCCTAACCCTTGCGATTGCCTTTGGGGCAAGATAGCACACATTATGAGGATCAAGACAGACTGTGTCGCAGCACAAACAAATCCATTTTAGAAGTCACTGTAAGTGGCTGTGCTGTAGACACACGACTGTGAGTCAGTCAGCTGTCTTCCTCTTGTGGGCCACACAGCAAACACAGCAGCTTAGGGCTGCCTACCAGTCCACACCAGACAGTCGGTAACCAAGCACACACGGCGGGACTGTGACCCGCTTTTCTTTGCCTACTGGAATCCGATGCCCATCCCAAGGAATCTTTTACTTAGGTCAGAGTGCACAGGACAGGCTAAAGGCTGTGGAGGAAAAGTTAAGGTTAAAAATAAAGACAATTAACTAAAGGAAAGGGAAGCAGAAGTGTGTTGCTGATAAGAACCAAGACGGATATGCAGAATTCAGTGCAGTCCAAAAGCCCCGAGAGCTCCAGGTCAGAAAGAAAAACACTCAACATCATAGAGCCCATACCCCCCATACCTCTCTCTCTCTCTCTCTCTCTCTCTCTCTCTCTCTCTCTCTCTCTCTCTCTCTCTCTCTCTGTCCCTCTCTCTCTTCTTTCTGCTCTGGAATTCACCAGCTCAAGATGATCTTCCCACCCCAGCCTCCCCATCCCAAGTGCCGAGAACACAGGCAGGAGCTACCAGGTTCGGCCATATAATCAACTAATCTTTTAAAATGTTTTAAGGCTTATTCATGTGTATGAATGTTTTCCATTCATGTATTTATGAGAACCATGGGCATGCTGGGTTCCCAAAATCGGAAAAGGCTGTCAGATGCCCTGGTACTGGGATTATGAGTGGTTGTGAACAACCATGTGAGTGCTGGGAATCAAACCCAGGTCTTCAAGTATAAATGCTCTTAAACCCCAAGCCAACTCTCCAGCCCCCATAAAACTAATCTTAATGACCTAAGTTTTGGTATTAAGTCAAACACATAACATTGGTTTTCAACTTTTATCCAAGATTTTATTTTAAAATTCAGTAAGAGTAAGTTGTTTTTTTAAGGTAGGGTCTCACTCTAGCTCAAGCTGGCCTCACGCTAGTGGCAAGCCAGTTTTCTCGGCTCAGGGCTGGTTATATGGAAACAACCCTAACGGTCTTACTTTGGGGGCCTGGGACGGGGGTACTGATGGCAGGCGGGTTGCTACAGTAGACAGATTACTTCATTTTTACACCATCCACTACCTTTGCTGGGCCGGCCAACATGGTGTTCCAGGGTACCTGAGAAATCCAAACATAATTTCTCCACCACGGAAAGCCTTTTCAGAGCCAGGAACTAGTGCAAAGATCCAGATAATCGAACTCTCCATCTCCCTGAAGCCTCTCCTTCACACAGGCCTCTGGACACACACCTCTGGCCCATCACACCTTACCTGCTGGGATGGTGGACGCTTTGCTCTCAGAAGCCTAACCCAGCCTGAGCCTCACCGTAGCCTCCCGGTTTTTCTGGATCCTCCTCTCTCTAGGAAGACTGCAGGACTCCCCCTCCCCGCCCCCACAAGATTCCCAGGGGCTCTACCCTGCCTGGCTGCCTCTATTCAGAAACAAACTGGATTTGGGGGCTTTGCATTTTGCACTGTGGTGCCAGCTGTGCAGAAAGCCCCCTCCATGATTTCTTTGGGCTCCTTTAAGACCCTCCCCTCCCCGGGCTCCAGACCTCCAATCTCCCAGAGCCATGATCTTCAAAGGCCATGCTCTGTCCCATCTGGGCAAGGCGGGCAGCGTGGGGTGACTCAGCCCCGGAATGTGCTCACTTCCCCACTCTGCACACCTGCCTGCACTGCTGGAACACAGCCTGGCCCCCCACCAGAGGATGTTTTCCTTCCCCTGCACAGGTGGCCGGTGCCAACCCCTACCCAGACTCCCGCCCTGCCCCTTGCCCCAAAAGCTGCTCTCCCGAGACTCAGTGGGCTGTGCTTTAACCACTGATAACCCTACACATCCACAGCAGTGCCCAGGCCACCCCCCCACATCCACAGCAGTGCCCAGGCCACCCCCCTACACATCCACAGCAGTGCCCAGGCCACCCCCCTACACATCCACAGCAGTGCCCAGGCCACCCCCCCACATCCACAGCAGTGCCCAGGCCACCCCCCTACACATCCACAGCAGTAGCAGGCCATCAACCAGTTCTACACTGCCCTGAAACCTCAGAAAGTAATCCTGCTCAGCCCCAGCCTCCTTCCAGAAGTTCCCACAGCTACATGCCTGCTTCATCTGCATTCCAGGAGGCTAATTCTCACTTCAAAGTTGGCTGTGGGTCAGACACCAGTGCCCACCAGGTCCCACTTCTGGACCCCCACCGCCTCCAGGATCTCTAGCCTCCCACTTGCTTCCGCTTCTAGTCAGTAGTTACTGAGAGAATAGTCTGCATCAGCCGTCAGGTGGGTCCCCCGCAAAGCTGTGGTAGAGCTACCTGATGACCAGACTCCTAAGCCCTATACTATGCCTGATGCCTTCTAATCCCTTCTCCAGCCAAGACAGCAGGGAGTCAAGGCCATGCCCCCTACACAGGAGCTAACCTGGGTGCACCCTGCTAAGTTTTCCTTTGCTTTTGTCTTGACACCCCTCTGAAAGGGAATCTTGTTCTCTCACTCAATTTGGTGGGGGTGGTGGTGGGTGCTTGAGGTGGAACCCAGGACATTGGGACAAGCACTCTATCAACAAACCACATGCCCAGCCAAAGCAAAGGGCATCTTGGAGGAAGACAGCTAAGGAATTAGGGGGACAGTGACTGCTGAATGAAGAGATGGCTGGCAGCCCGCCAGAAGTAAGACCTATGTGCTGTACTAGGTGATGGAGTAAAGCTTGGAGTGAATGGACTACAGACTTGAATGAAAAGCAGAGCAAACATCTGTGAGCAGGAGCAGGATAGTTGGAATAACACTGAAATGTGGGAAAGTGAGGTAAAAGAAGTCCAGTTGGAGCAGGGCCTTAGTAACAAACTATTGTAAGTGCTCAAAAAGGAGATTTGGGATGCACATGAGGGGGGAAAAAGGGTCAGGATCAAATAAGAAAAAACAGAGTCCTAAAGCTAGAGGAAGGCAGGGAGGGCAAGACGAACCCTCTTCCCAAGCTACTGAGGTGGGAAAGGAGGCTTAATCAGCAGCATGACCTTTCACACCAGATATGAGGGACGTCAAATGTCACGACTGAAACCATGTGGCTCCCGGGGCCACATTTGCTTTGGAAGGAGGCAGTAGAGTACCTGGGAGCCTAAATGTGGAAGGCAGAAGTTGACCTGGAGAGTGCAGTCCACAGTAGAGCTGTTGACTGGCTTCCAGAGGAAAGAACACCAGCATTTTGCCTGAGCTTTAGCCTCAGTAAGTGGCTATTTTCTGAGGGCCACGGGCCAAAGACGGTGCTAAGAACATCCCACATGCCATCTCATGAGGAGCCCATGAGCTGGCGTTTCCACTCTCAATGTACAGGTGAAGAAACAGGAGAGCAGAGTGAGGTGACTTGTGTGAGGCAGATGGCCAGTAAGAGTTACCACCTGAATCCCAGCAGTCCGTCTACAGCCTTCCAGAGCCTGCAAAACTCAAAGAATGCCCAAGACGGAAGTCCACGAGACCTTGTTCTGCCACCAGGAAAGAGGGGGTATATCTGTGGAAGTGGGACGATTTCTGTTACGGTACTCAGAAGAGATGCTTCTCTTTGAGGTAGGGCATTGCTAGGCATGGGGCAATCTGGCATCTCCTGCCCATTTGGGGTAAAAAACAATGGAAAGTTTATCTTTGGGGTGCCCATGGATGAAGCCCTCTCCCACAATGCTGAGGGTAGCCATTTCTCAGATGCATCAGGGACACCCTGCCCAGGAACTGAAGGAAACGTGCTCTCCACACAGATGCCCGCTGGCTCTCCTGGAGTCTCTGGCAGTTGCACCCTGCCGCAGCGCCTTGGTTTGGCTGGGGCACAGGATTAGCCATCCCCAGGAAATGCCTCCCTCCGGTTCAGGCAGGGATCCCAGCACACACACCCCTGGTGGTGGAGGGCGGGTTGATGGAATGCTTCCTCTCCGCAGGTCAAGGAGATCTGGGGACCACCTGGGGCCTTCAGCCCTCCCCCTCCCGGCTGGGGTAGTGCCCAGTCCAGTGCCCCTTCCACGGCCACCTCCCTCCTCCTAGCTGTGTGGGGGCATGAATCAGCTCTCACAGCTTGTTAAAAGCTGGACCTCTTGTTTTCATGCCCTCACCTCAGGAAACGGAGTTACAGCCTGTCCAGTTCTACTCAGCAGGGGGCCAGGGTCCTCACTTTATAAACATCGCCAGCCTGTAAGAGCAGAGGGCACTGCCATGGTATGAGACAGGAGCCCAAGGAGAGAGAAACCCAGGAGTCAAGGAGCAAGGCAAGGAAAGCAAGGGGATCCGGCCAGAGGAATCTGAACACACGCCAAGAAGGGTCTGAGAGCTGAGCTGCAGGAATGGCACTAAGGATGCTCTGGGCTGGACAGGGCAAGGGGATCCTGGGAGGCTGGAGGATCTTCGGCTTGCTGGTGTCTCTGCTCCTGCAGCACCCGGGAGTTAACAGCAAGTGTTACTTCCAAGCTCAAGGTAAGGTGGACTGATGCTTAGGGAAAAGATGGGGGTGGTGACCACGGCTCAGGGGTGACCCTATGTTCGAATACTCAGTCCTTCGATCTGTGAAACCGGAAGGACGATAGAGAGGGCTGGTGTGCATGGCTTCTCTCCTGCCCCAGACCAGAAGGACTGCGGCCAACACTCCCAATCCTCACCCACTAACAGGACGATTCATTCTTCTCTAGCCCCCTGCCACTATGACGGGAAGTATTTCACTCTGGGTGAATCCTGGCTCCGCAAGGACTGTTTCCATTGTACCTGTCTGCATCCTGTTGGTGTGGGCTGCTGTGACACGTAAGTGACCAAGAGTGGCCAGAGGGAACGCCACTGGTGTGACTGAGGGATGGCCGGGGACTAACTAGACTTCTGTGAGGCGAGAATAAACAGAAGAGCATCATGCAACCGCAGATGTGAAGGCACCGACGGGAAAGGGAGTCGAGGTAGATCTGGAGGGACACACTCCTGCTTGGAAAACTAAGAAGTCCTTCTATGGGACTAGAGAGCTAAGGGAGGGAGTCTGGGGGACACTGAAGGAGGCTCTCGGAGGATGGCTGAGAGGGAAGGGCATGCCGTGAAGGTGGCTCTTCACTGTACTGACTCTCCTAATCTTTGGTTTCCTAGGTCTCAGCATCCCATTGACTTCCCCGCTGAGTGTGAAGTACGCCAGGAGGCAGGAACCTGTCAGTTCTCTCTGGTGCAAAAATCTGACCCTCGGCTGCCCTGCAAAGGGGGAGGACCCGACCTAGAATGGGGCTCAGCTAACACCCCTGTTCCTGGGGCTCCTGCTCCCCACTCCAGCTAAAGGATCACCCATCCGCTGACTGCTCACTGCTGCTGCCACTTCCAGGGAAACCACTAGCAGCTGCCAATTTACTCTGAATAAATAAATCAATGCCACAGCTGAAAGCCTGGTTCTCGTCGCCTGCGTGGGGCCCCGTGTGGGAAAAGCGGGGCCCACCCAAGTCCAGGTGTTGAGTTTCAGCATCTAGAAGAAACCAGTGCCACGGTGGGCATGTAGGCCAGTCTCAGATAGTTACGCTGCTGGTGCTGGGGCCTGGGGCAGCGTATGAGGCCAGGGCGGGGCTTGTGGGAAGCACTTTGATGGGAAGGTCCCAGCTGAAGGTGTCTACAGGCACCTGCTCAGGCCCTGTCCAAATCGCAGGTTCAGGCTGCTCCAATGGGGGCAGAAGGACCAATCCTGGTTCTCGGGATGTTACAAACTCAAAATGCAATCGCCACTTCAAAGACACTGTGAAAGGAAAAGACAGAGGGAGATACTTTAAAACCATTGTTCTCAACCTATGGGGCTCAACCCCCTTATGGGTCAAAGGACCCTTTCACAGGGGTCGCCTAAGGCCATCAGAAAAGAGAGATATTTACACTATGGTTCATAACAGTAGCAAAATTACAGTTATGAAGTACCAATGGAAATAATTTTATGGTTGGAGTCACCCCAACATGAGGAACTGTATGAAAGGGGTCACACTGTCAGGAAGGTTGAGAACCACTGGTCTAAAAGGTCAGGTGTGGTGGCACACGCCTGTAATCCCAGTATTGGGTGAAGCCAGCAGGACCACAAGTTCAAGGTCAGCTTGACGCCAGCTGGGGGGACTACATGAGACCCTAATATCAAAAAAGGAAAAAAAGAAAGCAGGCAAGTGGTGAGCAGTAAGAGCCGATGACGGGATGTGGTTAGTAAATGAAACAACAGACTCAGAACCACCAGGATGGCTCAGCAGGTTAAGGGGACTGGCCACCAAGCCTGGTGACCTGAATTTGGTTCCCAGGACTCCTATGGCAGAAAGAACCAGCCCCAGAAAGCTGTCCTCTGACCTGCACACACATGCTGCGGGGCACCTGCCCAGTCCATGCATTTAAAATTCCCTGTCTGGGTGTGATGGTGCATGCCTTTAATCCCATCACTCAGAAGAAGAAGCAAGTGGATCTCTGTGAGTTTGAGGCCAACCTGGTTTACACAGTGAACTCAGGCCAGCCACAGCTACGGTGAAAACCCGTCTTTAAAAAAAAAAAAAAAAAAAGCCATGCAGTAG